AAACCCCTCCTTTGATTTCAGTTCCAATGTTAGGTCCTTTTGAAAAATGGGGGATAGATTTTGTAGGTACTTTGAATCTTACTCCTCGGGGAAATAAGTTCATTGTGATAGCTACAGATTATCTTACTAAGTGGGTAGAGGCAAGGCCACTAAAATCTACTAATGAGAAGGAGGTTGGTAGGTTTTTGTATGAGAGAATCATAACCAGATTTGATTGTCCTTTGGAGTTAGTGTCGGATAGAGGAGGAGAGTTTGTGGGAAGTATGATCCAAGCAATGTTAGATCATTTTTCCATCAAGTCTAGAGTGACTACTTCCTACAAACCCAATGCTAATGGGTTGGCGGAGCGGACCAACTACACTCTTTGTATGATGTTGGTCAAGGATGCAGACATGGACGGGAGCAAGCAAAACTGGGACAAGAGGTTGCATGCTATCTTGTGGGAGTATCGAACGACTTGGAAAACATCTACCGGATATTCTCCTTTTCGGATGGTGTATGGAGTTGAGTCAAAGCTCCCAATACAATTTGACTTGACTACTTTCATGACAATCCAACAAAGGTTGAAGAAATCAAATGGAGCAGAAGCCATCAAGTCTCGCCAACAACAATTGATGGAGTTGGAGGAAGCTCGAGCACTAGCCATGGTAAGAGTGGAGCGGGCTCAACAGTTGCAGAAGAAGTATCACGACAAACGAAGTGGAAACCAGAACTTCAAGCCATTCAAGGAAGGTGATTGGGTGATGCTCTTTGATGCAATTAGATACAAGAGAGCTAGGAAAAAGTTTCTTCCTAAGTATTTTGGACCTTTCATAGTTGAGAAGGTGTGGGGAAACTTTACTTATGATATCAAGGAGTTAGGAGGACGTCACTTCGATCGAGTCAACCACGACAAGTTGAAATTATTCCATCGAAGATCAGATTCTTTCACTCCGAGGGCGTAGTGAAGTCTTGGTCCGGGGGTAAATGTAAGACCAGATATTGCATGTGTGAAATAAAACTAGAATTAGCCAAGGAAATCATGGTTAGGATAGTTATGACTAAATCTAGCTAGTTATGACTAAGTCTAGCTAGTTTAGCTATAATGTCTATACTTGGCGGAATAACTAGAGAAGTTCTAGAAGATTTGAGTGAGCACTTCTATTTTGTCTTGTACAAAAGTCTAGATTCCAAGAGAAAAGACTTTTGAACTTCATGTTTAGTTTTGATTGGTTTGACTAAAGTAATGAGTATTCCATTGGTTAGACTAAGCTTTATGTTGACTTAGTGGAAAGTGGAAGTTCTAGAAGTTGGAAAGGCACAAATGGCATGTCGCCACCTCAATCTAGGGATTAGTAAACATCTAGAAGGTTTAGGGGGCCAATGGCATGTTGCCACATATTGATAACTAGTCAACCTTACTATGGTTTATCTTCGTAAAAGTAAGTTAGATAGAAATTACCATTTGTTACTATGGTAAATTCTCAAGTAGTATATATAGAGAAGTAGGGAAGAGCCTCTCAAGCAAGTTTGGAGAGTTCATATGTAGAGACTTGTTTCATATATGAAAGAGTGACGAATTTTCAGTACCTTGGAGTGTCGATGAGTGTATGAGTTGGAGTGATACCTTGAGAGATTGTGTGAGAGGGTGTTTAGCTTATGAGTATGATGCGGAATCCTAGTCTTCTAGAATCATGATGAGCTACCGAAAAGCCATCTGAGGTAAACCTGAGTGAGAGTCAGCCCGGAGGTTGCAGGACGTCTAATGCACAACAATGAAAGTGAAAGCTCAAGGATTGATATTGGAAGATGACAGCAGTGTTGTTGCGTCCCAAGGCTATCTCACTTCGGCAGAATGGGCGGAGGTAGAAGCAGATACCGTTGTGAGAGAGAAGGATGGACCTTCGAAGAAATACATTAGGAGTTCTAAGATGAGACCTTTGGCAGTAAAGAAGCGTCGGGCAACAAGGAAGGAGAAAGGGAAGGTCATAATGACAGAGGAAGGAACCCCAAAGCGGAACCCGGTTCCTTCGGCTGAAGCCATAGTAATTGATTCTTTAGAGAAGCCCGCAGAAGTGCTGACAATGTCATCGGACACGGAGGAGTATCCGGTTGCATTAGAGAAGATAGCAGAGAGAGTAGCTGAAGGCGTAGCAGGAGAGGCTACTGGGCAGCATCCGGTGGCGTGACCTCGGACATCCACGGGAACGGTTATATTGGAGACGATAGAAGAGATTCAGTCGGAAGAGGTCAATGTTGCGGATGTGTTGTGTGAACAAGTGATACCTCTACTTCGGTACCTTTACAGCAAGCTAGGGAAGTACGCTGTGCCCACCAATGTCGGATCTTAGTGGAGTTAGTGCGTAATAAGACGCGGGTGAAGGTGGCAACAGCTCATGCAGTAGTGGAGAAGAAGAAGCAACTTCGATGTACAGGATCGAAGTACGAGGTACTTTGGAAAAGGTTGGATCAAGAAGTAGAACTGTAGAAGTTTTCGGAGAAGACCTGTGAGGGTCTTCGGGCCAACATCGAGGTCATCAAATGTGCGACAGTCGATCTTCTGGATAGACTTGAAACATCTTGGATAGCTTTCAACGAAGAGTCGCGAAGCGTAGACGAGCTAACAACGGATCTGAAAAAGAAGGATGAGACGCATGCAGTGAAGGTAAAGGCTCTGGCGGAGTGTGAGGCTGCTAGGATCTCAGACCTGGAGCTGATATAGAGATTGGAGGCCAAGTGCAATGAGATGAGATTTCAGCGATCGTTGCCGGAGGAGCGGTTAAGTGAGATGGAGGCAAAATTGTCAGAGGCCGAGAAGAAGAATAGATAGTTAGCAGAGCAGACAAACAACGCCTTGACAGAGAAGATGAATCGGTGCATGGGCGAATTTGTGTTATGGCAGGTCGAGACACAAAAGTGGTTGCAGCTTAGAAATCTAGACCGTCGCGCGATCGCAATGATAGCGTGTAGTGTTAGTGGGCAGCGTCAGTTAGCTATAAAGTTAGATGCATTTTTTATCAGTTCGTGTGAAGCGATGACAAACTTGGAATTGGAACTGACGGCCGTTTTGTGTAGGTTAGGATTAGATCGGAAGTCGGATAGCGCGGCAATTGCCGACTCTGCGGTCGGTGTGCATGTTCGGAGCATCGGAGTGACATCTCAATGTGTTAGTTAGGAATAAAGTAGCCGAAGACTTCGACCTCGAAAGGATTCTTGATAGTTAGATTTCTCAGTTTTGAGTTGTTTTTGAACTTGTGGGATCGGATCTTTACCATTATGCTGCATTTTGGTATTTGCATTATGGTATTTATCTGTCATTACATTTGCAATCCAAACTGATTTGGTATGATTTGAAAAACGTCTTTAACATGGACGAGACAGAATTCTTCTTCCGTGCATTATCATACTCAACATTGAATCATGTAAAACAATCATGCAAGGGCGAGAAGCAAGAAAAAGACCAATTTATTGTAGCTCTGACTTGCTCAACGATGCACGAAAAACTGCCACCATTGATAATTGGTAAATCAAAGAATCTGAGATATTTTGATGATCACGATATAAGAAAATTTACAGCCAAATATTCTCATAGTGCAAAAGCATGGATGACAAATCTGTCATTTAGTAAATATTTAAAAGATCTTGATGATCATTTCAACAAAAAAAGGCAAAAATTCTTCCTTTTTTTTTGTAACGTCTAATCCACATTGTTGATGAGAACACAGTAATGTTACACATGGAGGTGCACTTTTTTCCGTCAAATTTCACTTTTGTCTTGATATTGGTATAATTCGTAATCTGAGTAAGCTTGCCCAAAAGTTTGAAATACTTTTCATATTGAAGAAGATTGACAGTTCTTGCCATGCATTGGAACGTGCAAAAAAACTCATGGTGCTATTTGTAGTCAAGTTTATGGGCAAGTCGTGGTACCTGATATAGGAAGAAACACGGCATAAATGTTTCGCAACATGTGGATTTGTTATAAATCATAATGTGGCCTCGGACTACGGTGAAATCAAGATGTGAATTTGTTGTAAATCATGATGTGCCCTCGGACTATATTGAGATCAAGATGTGAATTTGTCGTAAATCATGATGTGCCCTCGGACTACATTGAGATCAAGATGTAGATTTGTCGTAAATCGGAATGTGGTCTCGGACTACGATGAAATCATTGAACAAAAAAAAGAGCTTGCTAGTCTTGCTTCAAGAATTGACATTGATCAAAATAAGATACTCATCGAAGAGAACTTACGGAAATTTGAGGTTGTTGAAGAGCAAACTCTGATATGCCATCTAGTCGAGGAGCACACTCATGTTACATATGAGTACCATATCGAAGAATCTCTTGTTAGATTAGGAAACTCAGAGGAGTCGGAGGGAGCAAAAATAGTCTACATCTCCCAAGCAAAAGAAATGGTTTCTCAACTTCGAGGGTTTGCGAAGAAGACATTCATTGTTCGGCGAGGAGCTTTATTTACTGAACTTGAATATCAATGTAAATTATCATTACATTTCATACTTAAAACAATCAACAATTGAACACTTTTGTTTGTAATTAAATAAATTTTGAATTTGTGTGCAGGTAAAAAAAATCTATGGTAAACTACTCTATAAGGTACAAAGTGATTTTATTTTGGAACAAATAGGGTGTACTTTATAGAGAGGTTCTATTGAACACTTTATCCATCAATTGGATAGATACGATATTGCATGTTTTCTCCTCGTAAATCTTCTTGCAACCGTCCTGCTCAGCTCTCAAAAAATTTGTATCAATCAACCAGATTGACACTAGCTGTGAACGAATCTGATGAATTACTGCACAGGCTGATTCAGCAGCAATCAGTCACCTCACCTGATTCAGAAGTAGCAATTTCCTGGATCCCACGACATGAGTAGTCAGGAGTTTTCATGAGGTAAGGGGTCGAAGACACAGAAACACACAAAAGGAGAAACACACAGAAAGAGTTGCCTGACTCGAGAAGGCGAATTCACTAATCATTACTATCAGAGGCCAAATTACCAAAGAAGTACCTACAAGTAATCTTTCCTCAACTTTAAAGGTACAAGTTGTATAACAATTCCTAACTGGTAAGTACTGTGCAGTTCCCACTGACTGGAACGCACAGACATCACATTTTGCTGACCATGCCTAAACTGATACCTACCCATGGCATTCAACCATCAATTTTGAGCTGAAGTTACGAAAGTATACAACAGCAACAGATTATCTGCTTCACTGCCCGGGCTCTTGAGAGCCTGTATAATCTACAAGTTCCAAACACAATAATCCTTACAATGCAGTGTGGCAGGAATATGACAGACAAATGACTAACTACCCGAAGCCCAAACACCTCTGCGATCCAAAATCCATGAGCTTTCAATGAGCTCCCATGTGCACGAAAAACGTTGAAAACAGCAACTGCAATACACTCCCGACGTCCCGCCTCGAGAAATGCCTCAAGTGAGGACAAGGGGACGTCTGCACATTCAGGTCTCGGAGCCTTCTCCAAACATTACCAAGTCCTCTGCCCGGCTCCGTGACGCCACCCACTTAAAATATTCTTGTGACCGCATGAGTTGACGACTGCACCACTACTTGACCACTTCAGTTGGTAAATCTTCCGCCCATGGATTCAGGTCAGGCTGGAAGTAATGCATCGGGTCTGCTTTCGAAATGTACGAAAGGCATCTATTTGACAGTCTTCTAACTCATAACAAATCATCAATTATCACTCACTACTCTAGAGGTTCTACGCAGATCTCCTCATCTTCATGGTGAGACACAAACACACCGATCCATCCCGGACGATAGCTACTCGTCGAGAAAGAGCTCGACCATCGACTTCGTGGCGCAGCCCGGACTCTCCTCGAAATTGTCAACGGGATACTTGGCAGTGAGAAGCCCGACTTCGAACACGAGGTTCCCGTTCACGACAGTGATGGCGTTAATTGACCACCAAAAGTAATAGGCCTTGACGGAAATTCCATTGAGGTTTTTCAGCGAGCCGTAAGACAGAACTCCTGTGATAGTCTTCGAGTAGGTGACGGGGAACTCCCCGGGAATGTAGACGTTGCACTTGTCCTGCAGAAACACCGCAAACTTGCCATCATCCTCGAGAGTGTAGCCCGTGACCGTGTTGGGCAGCAGCCCCGTGGGGAATCCGTACTCCACGAGCTGTTCGTACGCATCCTTGTAACCATCACCTGCGCTCACCAGCCTCAGGGCCGATGAAACCGAGACCAGGCTGATCAGAGTGATCAGCAAGCGCCGGAATTGCGAGCATCCAGCTCCCCGCGTCGCGGACCTGACCCCCAACATGACGCTGCTGCTGCTGCTGCGATTCGTCGTCGTCTGCCCCTGCCTGCCTGCTCCTGCCTCGCTCGATGTCGCCTGACGCCGGGAGCTGAGCTGAGCTGAGCGGTGCGGATTCGAGTTGCGGACGGAGAGAAGCCAGGAGCCAATGGAGGATTTGGTGCCGAGCGACGTAGACAGAAGGGATCCCTACTCCTCCTCGCGTCGTCCTCTTGTGACAAGGATGCACACAAGCGAGGAAAGCCAGCAATGTGGCACACGTCTCAGAAGCGGACGAGATGTCGAGCACTCCAGGCTCCAGGCTTCAGGCTTCAGGCTTCGTCCGCTGCGAGTCACTCCCTTTTTCCTCTTCTATTCGGGGCCCGCCTGGCTCCATCAGCCAGCCAGCTGCGCCATCCCCACCCTCCTGTTTCCAGATGCGATCGCGGTCCAATTTTTCACTTGCACACGACCAGGCCCAGTGTCCACGAGCAACTCTCCCTCCCCCTTAAAGCGCACTTCGCCTCGGCTGCTCGACGGCCGGCTGCGTTCAGAGGTTTGCCGGTGTCGTGCCCACCGACGGCCTGCCTAATTCGGGGATCGGTAGCAGAGTGTCAACCATCTCCGAGGACGGGGGAAAGAATTTCGATCCGATGCTCGCGGAGAAAATACGTTCTCAATATTACTTTCTTATCAACCCACCGTCGGAGTATTATAACTATAAATTCTACGTGGACGCAATTAGCTACGCTTTCACGTGCTTTGAACATCTTCCGGGCAGTTGCAATTTTCGTGAAGCTTACTGCTGGAGGATGATGGAGTTTCAAAGTTTAATACCAAGAAATTTTTATGTGCCCGCCCAAATCCTGCTGTGAAAATTTCAGGATTCATCACCGGAAAGCAGATGGACAAGCTGAATACTGAGGCAAAAGTCCACTTGAAATTACGGACGCCGGAGAGAAACATTTACTGCGTACTGCAGCTTGCGGACAGGTCACCGTGGCCACGACGACGAGATCTCAGATCGGACGGTGAGTGCTTGAAAAAGCGAGAAGCCATAGCTGGCCCCAGTGACGAAGTGCGCACGTCATACAGGGGTACTGTATACGTGTCAGAAGTACATTCCGAACCGGTACTTTGATCCCCCGGGTTGATTCTGCTGAGGCCGAGCCTGCGCGAGAAATTTACCCTCCAACTCTTGACCTCCACCGTCAACGGCTTGCCGTGCGACCTTTGAGAGGTATCGTGTGAAGATCTCGGCTTGGACATGTTTATTGCATACGGTAGAACCCCTCGGAATTCATCCAATCGGGATTATTGACCATCCAAAACTATTAATAGCTTTATGTCCACACTTAGATACCCGTAAGATACAATAAAAATTCCTCAACCTTTAAAGGTACCCATAGGCATGAGACTTAATATTTGTACTACTATGCATAAGGAGCGGATTGGATTTGGCTAGTTTTCCATTGATGGGTAAGCACTTTCCTGTGCAACCACTCAACCTCGTCTTCCATCTTCATGTATACGGGTGGATAATCATGTTGTGAATTTTGTTGAAGCCATAAGAGCTCTAATTGTTTAAACATAAAAGTTTTCTCTTGTATGGATCTTGGACTACCATGTGTACTCCCTTGTACTTTGGAACCTTTTGGTTCAATTTTCCAATGTGTTGGTTGATGGTAGAATTGATCACATTTATGTTTTGCCGTTGGAGCAAATATTCATCTTCTGTTTCAGATGTGGGTGTTGTGTGACATGCAGATAATCTTGGAGTAGCTATTTATGATACTTAAGCGGCTTGATATTTTGGCCGTATTTTTGGTGTTTAGAGATATAAATATTTTGCATTAAGAAGTTACTCCAATACTTTTGAAAAAATATTTGCATGTGCATTGTTTGGGTTTGATCTCAGTATTGTTATAAAAAAAATTCCAAATAAAAAAAAACTAAAATTTTATGAAATTTCTAAATTAATAATTACTCTTTATTTAAAAATTTGTCAAGGACTTGTCTTAGAGTTTAGCATCAATCTCAGTCTAATTAATGTCTATCACCTTCAAAAATGTTCCCCTTGAGATCAAAAAGAGCTCTTCTATGCTATAGCACTTAATCTAATTTTTTCTATTTACTTTTTTCTATATTTCTATTTCTAACTTACAATCAATAACTTTCAATTGACGGAAAGACAATTCTAGCTTAGAGAAGTTGGCAACTCCGTCTACACTCACTCCAACCAAGTGGGATAATTCTTTGCTGTCATCAAGATGTCCCTATGGTATTTCATCTTCCACCTAGATCAATCAAACTTTCAATAACACTTGCAAAAAAGTTTCTAATCAATGTTTTACACAAAGCTAATATAAAGATAATTTTGATTTATGTATTACACTATACTTATATTTATCAAATGCATTAATAATTTAACTACATTTTAAAGCAAACAAATTTTTACACAATCAATTTTATTTGATTATTAAGCTAAAATAACACCAAATACATTTTTTCATAATGATACGGATAAAATGTTCATTTTGTACAATTTGAAAATAAAATTTAACTCAATTTCTCAATATCAAATTTGAATAATTGATAACAATTGTATAAAAGAAGAATAAATGCAAGAAACATGGCATTTTGTAATGCTTTAAATTTAAACCAAAGAGTATGATGAGTTTTTCTTTTCATCATTTAACTTTGCAGTTTTACTTGAAATTTTAAAATTTTTAAAAATTAATATAGATATGATTCAGCAAATAATGATATAGTTTGATTGAAAATAAATCAAGTATGTCTATTAAGCAGAATGTTACATCACATATTTGTAATAAAATAAAAAAATTTATCATTAATTCAAATTTATACTGATACAAAAATATGATTTTAACTTATCAAAGTAAGAAATTTGTGTGTAAAAGTATGAAGTTAATTGTTTATAAAATTAAATAATTTATCAAATAATAATAAATACATGTCCTATGCACATATATGTTTTATTTCAACATAATACTATGTAATTACAGATTCAAGCAAGATACCATTATTCGATTGACATGACACTAAAATATCAGATAAAGTGTCTACAATTTTGAAAATCTGATTATTTTATAGAATTTTATTTGTGGTAATTTTTTAAATTTTTTTATCATACTATTGATGAATAAAAAAATTAAAAAAAACCTCATTTCAAATTATTTTTTTTCAAAATAATATATAATTAAAATTCATAAATTTGAATTTTTTGTAATTAACAAATTTGATGAATACGATTATATTAATTGAATGTAAGAAAAAAATAACATTTAAATTTTAATTCAAAATATTTAAATTTAAATTTTTCTTCATATTTTAAAAAAAAGGTATTCAAAACTCATGATATTTTTTTAAAACCCCACAAATGATCTTATTGATACATGTATCAATAGGTTTAAGAGTATTTTATAACTTATAAACATCATAAAACCTGATTAAATCTATCATGACTTGAAACTTTACATTTATATTGAGGCTAAATTTCATTGTGTGTGTATTTATATAACTAAATTCAACTTATGGAATTTTTTCATATATATATATATATATATTTGAAATTCATTCAGAAATTTATGTTCAAAAAATAAACACTTCTGTCATTATGATTTGTAAATATCGAGTATTTTGGCTTGATTTATTGAAATGAATGTGTTAAAAAATGTCATCATGAAAAGATATATGAATATTAAATTTAAATATATGATAACAATAGTTGCAATCAATTTTAAAAATTTTGATTACAGTAATATATTAAACATTTGACTGTTTTAAAGATATGTGATTGAAAACATCTCAAACATTCAATTTATGTTTTACTTTTAAAATTATTGTACGGAAGATATTACATGTTGTTTTTGCATTGATTAGATCACAAAAGTTGTTGACTATCAATACTTCATATGTTTGTTAAGTATTGAACTTTTGTAATAGTACTGATAACAAATACTTTCATCATCTTAGGGTTTATATTCTATGATATTTGAAATTGAAATATTTCAAAATATTTCACACCTTGGTCTCTCAAAATTGCTCAAACTATGAAATTTTTTTGGCTTAATTATTGTAATTAAGAATGTAACGAATACATTGACGTCAATATATTTTTGATATAATATTTCAAAACACAATATTACTCTTTCATATGTGATGAATATATCTAGAAAATTTATATATGATAATTTTTTTTTGGACCAAAATGTTAAAATTTTATTTCAAAAACATATATCACTTCAAATTAACACATAAATCAAAATAAGTCTTTATTGCAAATATGAAAGCTACCAACAAGTCATTATGTGAAGTCAATTTGAGTTGAATTGTATGTTATTGCATTAAAATGTAGTACTTCACTATATTTACTATGACAAATATTTGAAAACCGATTGAGAATAGGTGCAAAAGCATTTGCAAGATTTGTGGTATAGAAGTTGGAGTTTATGAAAAAAAGAGTTAAAAAGAAACCAAATGAATGAAAATCAGGATTTCAATACTATTTCATAATCTTGCATCAGAGATATTATTATGAAAAGTTATTAGATAAAAGTCTTTTATTACCAAAATAAAATAACCGTAATTTTTTCTATCAATTTAGTGACAAAATATAAGCATAAAAATATACATGATTAAGAATGTTTATGAAATTAAAAAAATTTCTGAATGAATATATTGGATAAAATATATCTAGTATTCATATCTATTCGATGTAAAAAAATCAAATTTTCAAATCAAATAAAATCAAAATTCAAACCTTTTTATGAAGAAAATTTCATAAATTTAATCTGAAAAAATTTAAATAATTTGGTGTCTTCCGTAAAATTCAAAGTATATGAATAATTTTATTCAAAAAACAAAAAAATTGAAAAATATTCATTTTACACATTTTAATTCAAAATTCAAATATTTAAGATTGTATAATTTTAACAGTAAGTGCAAGTTAGATGATAGTTATATAAGGTCATGATTATATGTATATATGAAAAATATTTAATGTAAATCAATAATATGTCAAACATTAATTTAAGCATTTATTTGAAAGCATCAGCATGTCTATTATGTTGAACAATTATAACAACAAATGTATATGATTGATAAACATATACATTTTTGAACATCATGAAACATTTTTGTACATACTTTAAGCTTTTATTTATTATTTCATTTAATCATATGATATGTTTATTACATCAAAATTATTTATAATACATCTTTTTCTAGAAGATGTACAAACTTTATAGTTTATTTAGGTTGTTATATGTCGCAAATCTATCGTTTGCAACTAAGAATGTCTTAATTAGTATAATTTCTGTTTTAATTGGAAAGCCACTTACATAAGATGAATCATCTACAGAAGAGCATTAGTTGAAGTAACATTATAAACAAATTAGTTAGATTTGCTTATATTTTTTATCGGAAAAATCCATGATATAGCAATTTTCTCTTGTAATTGTGG